GAAAAGGAGGACACAAGGCTGCACGTTCCCTTCTGCGCCTTCAAACCCTGCGGCTCTGATGGTGAATCGACCGTTTCACGATGGGTTGATGAAAATCCAGGGCCTGTGTTCGTGTTACGACACAGAAACAGAAATAGGATGACACTTTACAGCACTTCATCTGGAAACAGAACTGACCTGCAGACACAGTCATGGGAGTTTTCTCTTCATCGTTGCGTCTTGTCCAGCAGACGGGACGCTGACTGGGCGCTGCAGGGACGCAGTCAAACCACCCATCCAGCACGTGCAGAAGTCACGAGCCAGGTCCCCAAATAACCCTGGAGCTTTAAAATCTGGGATACATGGGCTGTATATAAGGATGGCTTTTCGAAATCAAAAGCCACTACAGTATTCTTAATTAAGTTCCATAAACCAGCACCTAGCAGCAGCAGCAGCAGCGTTATAATGGTACTTCAGGAGACGATACAGCGGTATTTTTAAATTTTCGGCAAGTTTATTTCCCTCTGTGCCCGTTTTGCCTGATCTGTGTGTTGATGGAGGCAGAGCCAGCCACCCCCGCAGCGCCACGTGGAGTCCCCCCGGGACAGACAGCTCTCTCCTGCCTGTCCCCCTTCGCCTCCTGCCAGCATTTTTCTTGGCCTTTCCACCCATTTCAGAAACACAACTAACACGTAGAGCAGGAAAAGTCGCAGGCGGCACCTCGCGCGCTGCCTGTACGGCGTCGGGCTCAGCGGGGACATCCCGGGGCTTGGAAAGAGATAAATCCCACCTGGCAGAGTGCCCCCAGGCTCTCCAAACATTTTACACAGACTGTACCTCCGAACAGTTCAGCGAAGAGCAGGTAAACCAGGGCCAAGCAGCAGTGCACGAGTTCAGCTGATCAGCAGCTTCCAACATGTTCTGAGTAGGTGGCATCCTGGGGGAAAAAAAAAGAAAAAAAAAGAAAAGTCTGTATTTATCGATGGATCCGGGAGGAGGAGCCTGCAGTTCCCGGTTCCCCGGGTCGCAGATGCGTGGGCGGTGGTGTAGGCTTTTGGAGGGCCCACGACTCACCTCAGGGTTTATTGAATTAAAATAATATTTTAATTATTTAAAAGTTTATTAGGACTCTTCGGTCCCTACCCGAAGAGTTTGTGGTGTTTGTAACGTTACAGCATCCTACGTTTGCTGCCTTTCATCCAGCGGGATTCCCACGCGCGTCCCCCGCAGCGATCACCCTGTGGGACAGGACAGTGGGTCCCTCTGTGGCACGGCAGCGCTGGCAAAGCCACCCGTGTCCCTGCAGGGCTGGGGGACAGCCCCACACCCCGCTGCTGGCACAGGGGAGATGGAAGGAGCGATGGGAATGCACTAAAAAGCCACCGTTGAGTGGCCGCTGCCAGTGGCCCCCAGCTCTGAGGGGTGGAGGGAAAGGCTGGTCGTGGCCACAGTGACACCAGGGCCACCCGTTCCCCCGTGGGACGCACTGGCCATGGGCTGGCACACACTCACCGCGTCACCCGTCGCCGCCATAGATCTTCCTTGGGGTCAGACATCCCCAACTTGTTACGTGCCTTGAACTGTCACTGGGTAGCCAGGAGAACGTAGCTAGGAAAATGACAGGAAAATATAGTGAAGGAAGGAGGAAAAGATGTTTTATGATGCTTATTTTTGACAACAAATGTCTTTTTCTTCCCCTCCCGCCTCCGCCCCAACGCAGAAGAAGCTCACCCGGGAGTGCGTTTTCCGAGAGCAGTTTGAAGAGAACTGGTACAACACGTACGCCTCCACCCTCTACAAGCACCCCGACTCGGAGAGGCATTACTACGTGGCTCTGAACAAGGACGGCTCCCCCCGCGAGGGGTACAGGACTAAGAGACATCAGAAATTCACTCATTTTTTACCCAGGCCTGTGGACCCTGCCAAAATCCCCGCCATGTACAGAGACCTCTTCCACTACAGGTGATGTTCCCTGCAGCTCCCCCGGCACTGTACATACCTGGGCTCCCAAGCTTTTTCCCAGAGCACTATATTACTAGTCATTCCATCATTCCTGTAAGCGTAGATGACGTAGGAAAGCACTTCCATTGAATTCAGACACCGCTGTTCCTCCTTGTTTCAAGCGTATATCGAACGTGGGTTATTTATGGGGTGGGGGCAGGGGGAGGGAGGGAACCCTACGTGTAATCTCTCGTGTCCGTTCACTTTCTTTGCCCGGTGGCTCCAAGAAAGGCCGAATATTCAACGTTACGGTTGCTTAAAGGAACAAGCAGGGGAACAAACCTGATCACCGGGATGGGGGAGGAAAAAAAAACTGACAATGAAGAGGAGCAAAGAAAACAGAAGCTCACGGAACTGCTACGGATGGTGCCGCTGAGCTCGGGGTGGTTACGTGCTCGGAAAAAGCTCTTGGAATGGTACCCTGCTTAAGCAGCTCGGGAGTTCGCTGCGCGGATGATGCTACGTGGACTGGTCCTGATGCGTGGGGTTTTTCCTGCTGTTGGGGTGGGAACGGGGCGAGGAGCATTATTCAGATGTAAGCATGGATACTGTGCATAAGGACAAAACTATTTATAAAATGTATATGATATTTATTTTATATATTTATTTATTT